GATGATACCTAGAAGAGGAATAGCTGAGTCAAATTTCCATTTTTGGTTTTTTGAGGAATCTCCATAATAATTTTGATAGTGGTTGTACTAGTCTACATTCTGAAACTAGTTTGGATCCAGTTTATTTTTCAAGATATGTGGTCAGTGGCAGTGTCGTACCTCACCTGGCAGTAATTTGGCAGCAGTTGTAGAAATACACCCTAAAAATCTATAAGTTGGGAGTACTGATCAAAAGTCCTGTTCAGAGCTCACATCCAATGTGTTATTTCTTGTTTATAAGATGATGATAGTCTAACAAAATGCAGAAATCATTGTTTTCTTGCTGGGCAAAAAAATTTTTTAAGATTTTTTTGTTATGATCATTGGAAGCAAGCTTAGTTTATCATTGCTACCAGACCTTGGACAGTTGGGCTTCTTCTTACCTAACATTTGACGGTAAGTGGCTGGTAGCTTCCTGAGCTACTGTATCATTAAATGAAGGAACAATGATGCTGAAATTAGAAAGGAATAATTCCATTGCATAAAGTAAACTAAGAAAAACAACTATACTACCCAGCAAGAAGGTGTCGTTTTAGCACAACACAGTGCCTTTGTGCTGCTCCTACCAGGACTGAGTGAAAAGGTCTTATTTTGAGGTCATAATGTAAATGAAAAAGACTGTCATTTCCATTCATTTTAACCAGTAGTAACAATTCTTATGTGTAATTTTTACACTTTTACTTTCATTTTTAATGTGCAGAATTTGCTATGACAAAATGAAGTCCTCTAATGAGGTCAGGTTCTGGAAGCTACAGTGCAGACTTGTCTGTGATAACTGGTCCTAACTGAAAAGTCCTGTTCCTTCCTCACCAAGAGCTAGTGGCTTGGTTAGTGGCATTAGTATTCGGTCAGTTGGACTGAATTCTAGGAAGTGAAAACTTATAAGACAGTGTAATGTGTCTTAAATCACAGTGGAGTTTACTGAGAGATTTAGAAATGCCTCTTGTTTCCCAGCATCACGAAGCTTTCTTGCCACATGCATTTTTGTTTGTCAATATTTATCTTTATGTACTCTTATGCTATTGTGAATTTTTGATGATATCAGTGATATTAAGAGATTATACATATACTGATAATTTACTGCTTACCAAGTACTGTTCTAAGTGCTTCACAAAAATAATCAGAATTTAAAGAGTTCTTGAGCATTTAGATGTTAATCTTTTAGATAAATGTGCCTTAATAAAATTCTCCTTCTTTAAGTCAAGTGACAGGTTGATGGAGCAGTTGACTTAGGGTGATTCTTTGATATACATCTTGCCATTTACCTCTGTGCCATACTGTGGTTTTAGGAAAAAGGAGGGAAGGGAAATTGTATAATCCTAAGAAGATCAGGAAAGAAATGGAGGAAAGAGATAAAAATGTTGAAAGAAGAATTTGACTACCTTTCTCCTTCCAATTCAGTTAAGTTTTTTTTGTTTGTTGTTGTTGGTGGTGGTGGTTTTTTTTATGGTACCAGTGATCAAACTTGGGTCCTTGCACTTGCGAGGCAGATGGTGGAACCACTGAGCTAAATCCCTAGCCTAATTCAGTTAAGTTTTAAAAGATTCCAAATAATGTATGAATGATGGAGAAGTACTATAATCATATTTGGCATATTGGCATTTACTGAGCACCCACTGTGTGTGGGGTGCTCTGCTAACTGATCTACATCCCTCTTGGAAGGATTTCATGCTTTGAAAAGATTTTTTTTCTTTTTCTTTTTTTACTGGAGATTCAGTCCAAGGAGCATTGAGCTACATCTCCAACCCTTAAAAATTTTTTTTTCTTTGTTTTGAGACAGGGTCTTGCTAAATTGTGCGGGCTGACCTTGAACTTGCAATTCCCCTGCTTCAGCCTGCTGAGTTGCTAGGATTACAGGTGTGCACCAACACACCTGGGTGTGATTTTTTTAAATATTAACTTCCCTGTGTTCATTTAAAATATTTCACTACTTGCAAAGCAAAAAATAATTTCAGCACTTTTGGAAAAACAGTTCTCGTATTAATCCAAGACTCCAGTCTTGACTCATTGGCATTGTACCTGTACTAGCAAACCTACCTGTGGACAATTAGTAGACTTTCATCTCAGAAGTTGCCTCCCCACCCCCGCTCCCATGTTTTTTGAGACAGGGTCCCACTATGTAATTTAGGCTGACCTTGAACTCATGGCTATCCGCCTGCCTCAGCTACCCAAGAGCTAGGATTACAGGTTTTCCCCTTCTTAAGTGTTGGTGGTACAAAATTTTGTATTTCGTTGTATTTCTCAAGTTCTCTATCATTCTACTTAAAGCTTTATCTTTATCTAAAATATTAAAAACTCAAGTATTATTTGTTTCTTTTATGTTCTTACAAGCCTGAGTACCATATTAATTGCAAATGATATTCTTAGTAAATGATTCTTAAATGAATTAATGAATAAATGAAAAGACTTTAAATTGTCACAGTCCACTTAATAATTCTGAGGAGCTGTGTATGCTAACTGCAGTACAAAGTCAGAAAATTTTCAAAAGACAGTTCCTACATTGCTTTTTAAGAAACTTTTAAATCTAATACAGTGGTTCTTACACTCTTTGACAGCAGGATCCCATTAGTAATTGTTGAGTACCCGATGTGCTTTTTCTGATACAGGTATCTCTTATGATACCGTATTATAAACTAAAATGGAGATATTTTAAACATCAAAACAGAGTCATGTGATCCACCAGCTGCCAGCACAGTGATACCAGAACATGTCAGGTAGTCTCTGGACAGCATGGCATACTTGTGCCGAATAAGAATAAAAAAGGCAATTAATGTCTTGGAGTTACTGTGAAAGCAGTTTTGTTTTGTTTTGTTTTTCCTATTTCAAAACAAGGTTTACTGATGAGAAATTGAAGTCAGAAGACCAATAAAACCATACCACTGGGAGTGGTAAGAAATAATTCAAAAGTTGGCTAGAGTCACACAGCAGTGATGTTTTCACAAGTTATTTGAAGGGATCTTGAGGGGCTCCTCCACCCACCAGAGCTCTTCCAGGGATGTCTCTCCCCTCTCCCAGCCTTGCTGCCTCTGCCTCTCCCCCGCTGCAGTGGCAGAATGTCTGTTTGTCAACACTCCAGTCCTGTATACTTTCAAATCTTACCTGCTGCAGTTGGACCTGAGTGAGCCTCTGGTCACAGGTCACTCTCTGGGTCCTGCCCTTCACTCTTCCCATTGTGGTAGCTGCTAGAAGTTGATATTTGTGTTCATGCCTATGGGGATGGTTTAGAAGGAGGTAAGCCTGGAGGCTCAAGGACTCCCTGACCTCTCTTAAGCTGTTAGAAATTTGAATTTGTCACTTCCCTGGGTACAGGTGGTTGAGCTGATGTAAAGAAAAGATTGTCTGGGACTTCAGGAAGGACAACTCCACTGGGATGCAGGGAAAGACCATGTCAGGATGTGAGCTCTCAGGGGAGGGGACTCCTCATGACACCGAGAAGGACATATTTCAAGACACCTCAGGAGACATATACTGGGTTGTAGAAAGGATGGGAGGAAATCCTCTCTAGAAAGGGAGACCTGTTACTTCAACAGAGTTGATAGACAATGGTGGGATGATATCATGGTCGAAACAAGGATATTTTCAAGGGGAACCCTTAGTCCTGTGTACTTTCTTCAGGAACCTTGGACTTGTGTGTCTTACTGCTCTGAGGGGTTTGGTTGGAGTTTCCTGGATCTTAGGAGGGCAGTGGAGAGAATGATCTTAGATAGGAAACTGCTCAGAAAACTCCTTGACCCAAGTGTGCAGTGAAATATCCTCTGTGTGAACAAGGATATGTAGGGGTTACTCAGCTGCCACAGCCCAGAGCCCCCAAGTACCTTCTCGCTCAGAGAGGGCTTTTCCCTCAGTCCAAGTTGCACTTGTCTTCCATCACAGCATAGAAACTTCAACCAACACAGGGCTTGGGCCTCCCTGAGTTGTTCCGAAATGTCATCTTTTTCATCAAAACAGGTCTTCAGGGGTTCTTAGTCTTGTCCACTATCAATGTGGACCCTCAGCCCTTCATTTCACTGTTGGCAGGAACACAGCCCATGTTCCTGTCTGGTGCTTCATGCACAGGGAGCACATGTGGAGTGGTGTTGGTTTTCTACAGCAGTGGAAGCTGGTTTCCATGCTAAGAGAGGATGGAGAGTAGCTCACAGGAAGATCCTTCGCTGTCATGTTAGTACTAGGGTAGGACAGGTGTGCTGGTTACTGGGTGCAGGTGTCATGGAGCTTGCTCTCCTTGACCAGGGTCTACATAAGGTTCCACTGACCAAGGATGGGCTCCAGGTAACTTTGTCTCATGTGGCACCTGGCTCATGGAGGACCCATGGGGCTCTTTCCTTTCCATTATTGGGACCCCAAGGGAAAAGCTCCACAGATAGGTTCCAGGTCCACAACCAAATCTGACAGCCAGTAGCTGTGACAATTTCTTGAAAACTCCCCAGTCACTATCACTTGGCTCTTTCTGGTCCTCTGCAAAAACTCCTGACTGTTTCTGCAAGGACAAGTACTCAGGGAAACCAGTGTCTATCTTCCAGACCTGTTCCATAGGAACAGAGCTTCCAGTGTTGTGGCAGGGACCACACATTACCAGTGACAGGACTGGTTAGGATCAGTCCCCAAATTAGTGTTTGTTGTGGGAGCTGGGTGGGATCCCTCCTGGGGTCATCTCCAGGGTTCCTCAGGTGTTAGAGTGGGGAAAGATTTCATTTGGGGGCTGTTTTGTATTGCGTTTGGAAGGCGAGAAAGATAGGTTTTGACGGACCATCAGGAAAAGGAAGTATTCCTTAGAGGGAGGGAAAGCTGAGGAGTTGCTTTGGACAAGCAGGGGTTGGGAATCTTATTGACCTGGAAACAAGCTCCATGCTACAGAAATTCTGAATAGAAGGAAGAGAGCAGGAAAACTCACTCAGGTGTGTTTGCTAACTGCAAAATATTCCTGTCCACGCAACCCTGAACTGGAGTGATTTGTCCTCTGATTCACAGTGACTGGGGAAGAAGAGAGCCTCCCTCCTGCCATCTCCCCCCTTCAATTACTCCTTCCTTCCTTCCCAGCATCATCAGTGCTGCAGCCACATATGATCCTGAAGTCTGGTGTCATCCCATCTCCTTCTGTGGTCCTGTGCCCTTTTCCACCTGCCTCAGTCCCAGTACACCAGCTACACTGGGAGCCGCCCCCACCACCCTTTGGGAATGCACCACTTCCTCGGGGTAACCCCCTGGTGCTTTCCCCTTTTCCCATGACACCTGTGATGGCAGGACATGCTGGCTATGGCAAGCCTGGGGCTGCGCCTTTCAACATCATGGCCCAAGCCAGGAGAGCAAGGAGGCCAGCAGGGTCCCTGCTCACTCAGAGCACTCTCCTCACTCAGGCCCCATGCATGAGGGGTGCCCCGGGGGTCCAGCATCGGGCTGTGCAGAATCCTGCTCCCCTGCAGCTGAGAGCTCTGCCCATGACCACCTTCATGCCTGCCCCAACTCGGGTGAGCATCAACGCTCATGAAGGGATGTGGCCCTGGGGCCTTTATCCCTCAGCCGTACCACCAGTGGCCCCTGCCATGTCCAGGGTGAACACAGGGCCACCACCACACTGTAACTGCACAGAGTGTGGCCTGGCCGCCTCGCAGGCCAATCCTTCACCAGATCACACCTGCAAGTCTCCAAGTGTCTATGAGAACTTCCAGCACTGGCAGCATTTGAAGACTGTGCTCCGGAAACACCTTCCTCACACTCCTGACGTGGAAGTGATGTCCTGCTTCCTGGTGTGAGTGCCCTTGCAGGGACCCAGGAGCTCAACCTTTGGCTCCAATGGAAGGAAGGAGGAGGGGAGACAAGGAATTTGGGATGTAGAGGAACTCACAGGAAGGGCTGAGGGTGATATAGTAAGTTTAGGAAGAGTGCCTGATCTATGGACACCACTGCCCCACTCTGAGTGCAGCCAATTGTCCTTTTACAATAGTCATCACCATGCTGCTCAAGACTCAAGGTCAGAGAAGGGTCCTGGGTGTAACACGAGCCACCATTTGAGTTTAGGTCTCTGACATGTCATGGTCACTCCCCTTCTATTTTCACCTTCCTTCATAGACCTGTGGATTCACGGCCCCGAGGTCACCACTGGTGGTAGGAGGTACAGAAACTGAGAGGGAAAATGACACTTGTTCCCACCGCTGTTGTGGGGATCTATGGTTAGGAGAACGAGGTGGTGCAGCAGTCCCATGAGTGCACATCAGGGGCCCTGATTCCATTTGATCCTCTGCAACCATTTAAATCTTCACCCCAGGCTTTATCCCTGGCTTCAGGTCATTGGCCCTGTCAGCTCAGGCTGCCAGACAGAATACCCTAGACTGGCAAGTGGAAGCCACCCACATTCATTCCTTGAAGTTCTAAGGCAGAAAGACCCTGCTGACCTCATCTGACTCTTTCTAAATACCATCACATTGAGGGTCAGTACTTCAACACATGGACTGTGGGAGACAAAACCATCCTGTCTATAATAGACAACACTAACAGTGAGGACATGAAGGAAAATCAGTCTCCAGTGCAGCACTGATGTTGATGTCTGGTGTTTGCTAGGGCATCCTGGAGGCTGTCAGACCACAAAGGAAGAGTGTTGTGCCAAGGGCAGAAGTGACAGAACCATGGGGTGTGCAGGGCTGGATCAGCTGGGTATGCAGGGCGAGGGTAGTGGATGGTAACTGATCCTGAGCAATTACAGGCCAGTGCTTCGGTCCCTGTCCTGCCGGCAGCCGACCATGAGTGTGGAGAAGGGCCTGCAGATAGTCTTGTGAGAATGGGACTGCACCAGCAACTATGACCACATGACATTCTATGAGGTGGCTGAAGAGTGAGCCAGGGACCCTGGGGCCGGGCCTGAGTTGCAAGAGCACATGGGCTGTGCCGCTTTGCCCAATGGCGCTTGTCACCCACACGATGTCAGCAGGAGTGCACAGACCCCACCCCTGGACACCTTGGTCCTTAGGTGGCAGCTCTTTCTACCTGGAGGGTCCCAGAAGCTCGGGCCTCACTGTTCATGGGGTTTCTTCCGGCAGTGGTGGCTATATAAAGTGCCATTTAGTCACATGCTAGTCCCAAGTTGACAACAAAGGGACCATCTCTGTCCATGAAAGGGACAAGAGGTTATAACCCAAGGTCCCAGAAGAGAATGGGAGAGAGGACAGCATGATTAGGGGAAAACAGCCTCTCAGGCACCCGGAGGACATGTCCTTGCCATTACTGCTTTTGCTCCATCTCATCTGTTCTCTTCAAACAAACAAATGAACAAACAAACAGAGAAACAGAAAAATAGGCCACAGAGGAAAGTGACTCCCTGTTTCTCCTGACTTCTCCAGGGCCCTTGTCTCTTAGGGCATCATTCCAGGACTCACAGTCCCAGCTCAGGATCCCTGGATGGGACAAGGACTCCTGGTGTTTTCTGCCTTAACTTACTTCCTGACCAGCTTCTGATGGTCAGTTCCTGTTTGTGGCTCTGTGCAAGGCCATGATAGGCCTGAAAAGGCTGAAAAAGCCTCTGTGGGTCACCTAGGCCTAATGTGATTCCCTGCAGGTAATGAAGGGTGTGCCCAGAACTGTGATTGTGCCCTGGGATCAGCACCCTCTGACAACTAGACTAGTCCACCCAGGGCACTGCTCCCCACGCCTGACACTGGTCCAGCCCATGGTCCTTATGGCCTGGGGCCTGGCTTCCCTACCAGCTCAGCCTGTGCCTCCCCAGACCATAGGTTCATGGAGTTTGAGGCTGCTGAAAAGATGGAACATCCTGGGTTGCAGTTGACTGGAGGACTTCTGGGCCGTCCAATTCCAGCCCCACTGAGGCCCGAACCTCCAAGGCTCCCAATGCCTAAGGTTGTCCAACAACCAGGTAGGGCTTCCCATGTTCCACAGGCAATCATGGCAGAGGCCAAAGAGGGCAGAGGGAAGCTGATGTCCCACATCTGTTGGGTTTTCAATCAGGATGAGGCATTTGGTGTTGACAGCAGAAAATACTCCAGCGCCTGGGGTTCCCCAGCCCTTGCTTTTGAGCAGGGTATTGATTGGCTGTGCAATATCTGAACCCACCATCTGCCCAGGACTTGGGGGCAGGATGGGGAGAGTGTCTGGCATTTTGGTAGCTCCACATGTCCTCCCATGTGACTGTCTCCACATTCCACCTTATGCAGAGTCTCCCCTCATAGGTTCTGAGGTCAGGTTGTCCTGGACTACTCTGGATGACATTAGGTCCCCTGATCACTGCTCTCCCCACTGGGATTGGGGTGTAGCTGGAGCCCCCATCCATACAACACTCCCTCCTCCCATTCTAGTGTGCATCCCCGGGCAGATAGACTCTAAGGCACAAGCTCTCTGGCCCCCAGCTCCCAAATGTCAGCAGCCACCTGAGACCAAGGCACCTGATGAGATCCCTCCTGAAGCCATGAGGGAATACATGGAGATCATGGACTGGCTGGAAGAACATCATCTCTTGGCCATTGAGAAGTCAAGGACACTCATGGGTTCTTCTGATCCAGGTGGAAGCCATTATCAAAGTTCCTCCCCACAGAGGCAGCCTCAGCCGTGACCTCCCTCCATGTGCCAGGTCCAAGAAGAGTCCTCATGGGAGGCGCAGCTCCTGTGGGAAAGGTGTCCTGCCCAGGGCCTTCCTGCCAGGTCTCTGGAGGGCAAGATTTGGCTCGGGCTGGTTCCACACCCGTGGCCTTCCATGTTTGCAGCATACCCACTGTTTTTCACCAATGTGGAACATGGCTGGTCATTGTGAGGCATGACTCCTGCAGCCATGGTAATCCACATTTCAGTATCCCTGCAGCCCATAGCTCATCTTTGGGAGAAGATGGTGGAGGTGGTAAGATGAGACGAGAGGTTGCTTCTGAACATCTTCAAGCCCGGGGCACATCTTCCTCATCTTTGAATCCAGTGACTTCATCCTTCAAATTTGGTGGCCCTTCATTCTCTTCTGGGCCTTCTCAGACCGTGACAAACACTTCCCTCCATCCCAACCCCCAAGACCAAGGTCTCCTCCTGTGAAAGTAGTTTTGACCTCACAGTCCCCCTGAAAGGATCTTGGAGAATTGGTAGTCTCAAGTGTGCCATTGATTCACTAAATCAGGATGTAATAAGGGTAATCCTTAAAGTTAAAACCATGTTCTTAACTTTTATGTTTAATCATGAGTACTGTACTGTGAGTATTACGAATGGTTCTAATTATATAGCAAGCACAAAATTAATAAATTTTTAATTTTAAATTATAGATCTCTTTTGGTTGAAATTAACTTCGTTTAAAAAACCAACAGTATTTAGAAACTATGTTTCTTATACATTTAAAGCTATGTTCTCTTTCATTGCAGTTCCTCAGTTTGAAACCACGTGTAATTATGTGGAAGCTACACTTGAAGAGTTTCTGACCTGGAACTGTGACCAATCTAGTATTTCTGGACCATTTAGAGATTATGATCATTCCAAATTCTGGGCTTATGCTGATTATAAATATTTTGTCAACCTATTTGAAGACAATTCAGATGTTTTTCAGGTAAGTAATACTGTACATTCCTTTTAATCTCAGTAAGAATTTGAGAAAAGATCCTAAATTAGAATCTCCGTGCTTGCTTCTTCCTTGGCTGCCTTTTTCTTCCATAAGTATACACAGTGAGTCTTGAGCATTTTACCCACTGGAGCCAAAAGATCTGCTCAAGAGATGTGTGACATTTGGCTCACACAGGTGAGCAGCCTTCTCTGTTTGCCTTCTCAACCAGACTTCTTCCTCCACACCCCTCCTTTGCCTTTAAACATGCCCCAGTGGTTTGGAGAATACCAGAAGCATAGACAGTGTAAAAAACTTACATCTTCCACTGACCTACACAGAATGTCTTTAAGTGCAAAGCAGGTTCTATAAAGGAGCACTTCTTAGGCGAGGATCAGGCCACCTCTGCCATTGCTGTCCCCTTGGAGTTCAGCTGTTTTTGCCCATGGTCTGTAGCCTGAGGCAGAGAATCCTGGGCTCCTGGTATTTGGTGTGGAAGCCCTTCAGGAGTGTGGGATTGCCTTGGAGAAGTAAGAATATGGATGTTCATTGCCATGTGTTGTAACTGACCATAGAAGTTGCAGACTACCAAAGCCTCTTTCCTTTTAAGTGTATTTGACTTTAAACTGTCAGTTTATTTTGTGTGGTGATTCTGTAAGCTCCCTGCTCTGGTTTCTGTCTTGTGCTAGACTTGGGGCAGAAATGGAAGTGGTCCCTGGGAGGTTGTTTGGATGATTTTGCCTCGCCCCTAAGCAGGCCACAGCCTCAGAGCTCTTCACTCTGCCCCTACCACTGGAGAGAGAAGTATATCATCCTCAGACAGGCTGTTCACCCCTTCCGCACTCCTCCTGCCTGGCACCCCACCCCTTCTCTGGACTTTGCTCTTATATGAAATGATGTTTCTTGTTTTGTTTTGACTCTGGAGCAGTTTCTGTTCAGCCTATATTTTTCTCTTTGAGTCAGAGTATTTATATAATTATTAAATACAACTACCAATATTTTGTAGCTTTCCTTTATTAACTTTTAAAAATATTTAAATAATTTTGCTTTTTAATTTGAAAAAGAGGAAAAATATCCCAGTTTACCCCATATTTGTTAGTTGTGGATGTATCTTTATTCTCATAGCCATAAAATATATGCATTGACTTTGAAAACATTCAGTAAACGCTTCTCAATCCATAGTCAAATACCAAATTTATTTACTCATTTTTAAATAATTTTGAGGTAGATGTTTATTCTTATAACCCTAGATCACATTATGTATCTTTAACCCTGCAATTCATAGATTTTAAATTAACTTATAGAGTATTTTGTTATATTTCTCATATCCCCATCCACTCTGTGGATTGGACTAGTACCTTTTTTATTCCATATTTCAAATAAAATATTGTGTAATAGTAATTCTTGCCAAGTATTTACTTGTCCTTGGCACTTTTTTTTTTCTTTTTTCTTCTTTGGTACTGGGGATTGAACTCAGGACCTTGCCTTTGTGAGGTAGGAGCAGTGCCACTGAGCTAAATTCCCAGCCCCCCTCGGGACTTTTCTAGTTAATGCCTTACATTTATAATCCTCACAGTAATGCTATAATTTAATAATTATTCCCATTTTAAGGAAAAAGAGGCACTAAAAGGTTGTGTAACCCTTTTCTAACATGATGCAACTAAGAAGGAGCTGAGCCAGGTCATGTGGCCCCAGAGCTCTGTCCAGTGCTCTCTCTTCAGCAGGCCTGGCCTCATGTGTCCTGTGAGAGCTCTTCAGACAGGACACAGTACTCCGGCTGTGTGTATCTGGCTCACTCTGCCTCAGGTGAATATCTCATCTGACCCCATCTGCTGTTCCATCACGTTCCAGCCATGCTGGCACTAGGGAGACATGTGACTCGGTCATTAGGTATGGACATAAAAGGCAGCCTTTTGCTAATGTGCTGAATTTGTAATTAAGCCTTTAAAAATCTGATATTTTCAGAGAATGAATTTTCGGTCTGTTCACATAATGGCGATTAATTATGCAAAGAATAATCAGTATATTAAGATTATATCACCTTTTATCTCAGAGTTTTCTGGTCACCACTCTTCTCACATCGTAGATACTTAAGTTATTGTTTTGCTTTCACTACTGTAATTCATTCAGTCACCAAATATTACTGTGTCAAACTGTTTTACATTGTCATGAAATGATAGGTAAAACATTAAAACTGATATATTTTAAAATATAATTCATTTAAACTAATAAATTTATATCTTAATATAAATAACATTTTAGAGAAAATAACTGTATAAAAACTATACAAAATGTCATTATCAGAATAGATTGTTTCATACTTTTGCAAGTCCCTGATACCTCGCCACAAAAGACTGCTGGATTCTCCTGTCCACTTTTCCAGTCAAGCTGTTGCAATCAGTAGGTCTGTTTGAAGGGTATGAAGAAAATGTTACCGCATAAACTTGACTTTTTTTATGAAAAAAAAGAGGAGTATTTTAACAGTCTTTTCAGAAAGTTATGGGGTTTTTTAGACCACTTCAAACTTAATGAGGGGTAGTTTCTTAAAGGTTCATGAGCTGCAGTATAGAATCTGAATCCACAATGAACAAACTCTTTGTATTCTTCTAACAAAATCCATTAGTCCTTCTTGCATAGAGTGGATCTTACATAATGTCACTCAGTGGACTTTTGGAAAATACTAGTTTACTGAGTTGTGTAGATCTTGCGAATGATGATACATGTCAGTGTATGTGATACATTTTGTTATTTTAAGTCTCATTGTCTTAGTATTCTGAAGCTTTCAAGTTTGTGTATCTCAAAATCTCAAGATAAAATTTCCCAACCCATTTTTATTCATTTCAAAATATTTGCTAATTTCTCTTGTGACTTTGATTATTTAGAAATACAGTGTTTGATTTTCAGATATTTGGGGATTTTGCAATATGTCTTTCTGTTAACTGATTTCTTATTTAATTCCATTGAGGTCAGAAACTTATTTTTTATGATTTCAGTCCTTTTAAATTTATTGAAATTTGTTTTATGGCCCAGAATATAGTTATCTTGATGAGTGTCCCATGTATACTTTACCATAGTGTGTATTTTGTGGTGGGGGGGGTGTTTTATAAATGTCAATTAAGTCAAATTGATGGTTCAAGTCTTCTGTATCTTTACTAGTTTTCTGTATATTTATTCTACTCATCATATGGAGAGTGGGACTAACCCCCTCCCTCGGTGATAATTATGTGCTTGTCTTTTCCCTATTTTAGGTTGGCAACTTTTGTCTCATGTATTGAGAAACTGTTACTAGGTTATCACACATTGAGACTTATGATGTCCTCTTCAAGAAGTGACCTTTTGTCATGATGAAATGACCCTCTTTACCTTGGGTTTGTCCTTGTTCTGTTGTTTACTTTGTTCAGTTTGCCTTTGACTAGCATTTATATAAAAAATACTACACAACTCCATTTCTATATAATTCTCGAACTTGCAAACTGTATTGATAGGATAGATCAGTGGTGGTCTGAGAATCACTGTATAGGAAGAAAAAGATTCTGAGGGAAACTTTGGGACTCTACACAAATGTTTGTCATCGTGATTATGGCACTGGTTTCTCAGATATATGGATATTTTAAAATTCATGAAATTAAGCACCTTAAATACATACTGTTTATTGTATAAGAAAGCTTTTTATTTGCTTTTTGCTTTTATGGTATTTGAGATTGAACCTATGGTCTTAACACCTATCTACATCTCCAGCCATTTTTGTTTGTTTGTTTGTTTTCTTGTTTGTTTTTAAGACAAGGTCTCACTAAGTCTCTAAGTTGCCCCAGCTGGGCTTGAATGTGCAGTCATCCTGCCTCATCCTCCCAGAGTGCTGGAATTACAGGTTTGCACCACCATATCCAGATAAGCTTTTTTTTTTGCCTCTCTCTCTTTTTTTTTGGTACCAGGGATCGAACTCAGAACCTTGTGCTTGCGAGGCAGGTGGCAGAACCACTGAGCTAAATCCCCGGCCCAAGCTTTTTGTTTTTAAATCCAATGCTACTAGTATACTTTGGTCCCACTGCCTTGACATTAGCAGTTTCATCCCCCATTGCTTTTGTACCATCAGTGAGAGCATCAACACAGTGAATAGGCAGATAATATCTTAGGAGTACTATGAAAATAGTTTTGACTTCACAGATCTCCAGAAAGGATCTCAGGGAATCCTCTGGTATACAACACCACTTCTGTAATCACACTGTTCCTCCAGTTCTTATTCCTCTTAATTTCAAAATACTCTTCAAGTCATATTCCAGTTTAAATATTAAAATGCAATAATCATGTTCACAAATGCTTTATGGCTTAAAAGTATCTAAGGATAGTACTTGAGGCCTTCCCCAGGCTCCGATCTGGCCTGTCTAGTCTCCTCGAGGACTGCTGCACATGCTGTATTCCCTCTCACCTCGTGGCCTTTGCTTGTGCCTTTCTCAGTTTGTGCCCATTAAAGTCCTACTGTTTAGGGTTAGCTCAGATTCAGCCTTGGCCAAACCTTCTCAGCCACTTTACCCACATCCATCCCCCACCCCCCGGCTTCATTGTTATGTTCCTTAAATGGTGCATGGCATAGAATGCCTGTGTCTGGTTCATATCATATTGTAAGCTCTTTGGGCTATATTTTATAATTTTGTATTCCTCAAAACTGTTAGCATAGTGCTAAATATGTAATAAGTATCTAAATGATTATATGAGTATATTTTTTCCTAGTTTTACCATTTCTTGTTTGATATTTCCTTAGTCTGTAGAGCCCTTTGGACAGTGTTTTGACTTAAACCCCTGGCTTCCTGCTTGTTAAATCTTCTGTGGCTTCTAGTTAGTGAAGTGTGGCATTTGTCAGTCTTTGTAAGAAAGTCCTAACTCTCTTCAGCCTTCTAGTTATAAGTTTTTACTTACAATTTCTACTTGATGTTTCCATCTATTTATCCTTTTTTTTTAGAAATTAGATCTATCCACTTGTAAATATATATTTATATATGGATAAATATATA